TGCAATTATTGCCATTAACTGCCACCGGGTCATACCCAATTGCAGTTCTAATAAATGTATGTATGTGACGGAGGAGAGCACTCGGGTACAACACTCGCTACGGCACACCAGGGATGGAGTGGAACTGAGGTGGAATGGACCTGTGGGTTGGAGCCGCGGAGAGGGGTGAGCAGAAATGCGGATGGCCGCGTGCCGGAGTCAGGCTGAACGGCTGCGGTTGTACGCTGCGCGAACTACGACAGCTGATGGCGCTGATTCACGTGCTGACCCGTGCTGGGCGGACGGGCTCAACGGCCGCGCCCGGCGCGCGCAGCCACTGCGCAGCCGACGCCGTGGCGCAAGGACAATTGAGCTTCCAAAGTGACGTACTTCCCTTTGTTTTGTTATTTAAGATTTGCTTCAACATCTATGTCATTAGCGACCACTATTACACTTAACGGTATGGTAACTGTGTGGAGATGACATGATGATGATAGGGGGTGAAAGGACCAACACAAATACAACCAGGCCCGAGGCGGGACTCGAACCGCGATCCTTCGGTCCGAGATCGCTACGGCACTACTGCCGTAACGATCTCGGCCATTCGGACCAGCTACGTATTTCCCATTGTTTTTATTTTATTTTACTTTCAATATGTGCAGAAATCTGAATTTATACGAAAATCACATCCTACAAAAGCACTACAAGTTCCATGTTTGGTATCAAATAATCAGTTCATTTATAAAACATTACACGCATAATAATACTTTCTAAAAAAACATTACAAAATTACTTCTTTATCTCCTAGATAAAAATACTTTTAATCTTGGCTAATCTTACAAATCTCCTCGTAGAATCGAAACCGGGTTTTCCAAAGGCAGAATCAAACACCCATAAATTACACGTTTTCCTTATACGAATACTTACACTCTACAACACACAGTTACAACTGATACACTATTTCCTGTCATTCCCCACAAATTTTACGATATCTGATATACACATTCTCTTTTAAATAATAAACACAATCTTAATTTACAGCATTTGTTTTGCCACAACAATTCGGGACAATTAATGCCCGAGTGATTAACCCTGGTAGTAGTCAATTATTTCTAATTTTTAAAACCCCTGAAGGACGTTTACAGTGGAACGGACAGTAAATAAAAAAAGTACATTTTGATGAAGTTCTCCATCACGCTGTCCAATATTTAGTTCAAAAATGGCGTTTTCCAATGTTAATCAGTATCAGAAAACCGTTTAATCCTTCATTGAATTATAAAGCTAAATAAGTTCTTGTCCTTCCTGAAGAAGTGTACGTCCTAAAGACACGTTGCTTTGGAAACATACTCTTCAATTGACATACGTGTCGGTTTTGGCGGAGCAGGAATTGAGTGTTCGGAGTAGAAGGATGCAGTTGGTTGTGATATATGAGTTAGAGGCGTTTGCACTTATTCATTCAATCAATGATGCCATATTTTATACAGGCGAGTATCAGACCATCAGGCCAGTATTTTTGTCTGACCACACAAATTTCTCTACGTACCATTCGACATCTTTCAGAGAAAAAAAAGGCGACACAGCAGATGATTTCAATTTTGCTCAGATACTTCATTTAGGCTTGAGAATCTTTTATATGTATACAGAACACGGGACAGCTGGCTTGACTTCCCCAAAGAAAGGCGTACGAAGAATATTTTCGTCCTTGAAAATCCACGGCTTCGATCGGCTTTGAACACGCGAAATTGAGTGAGTGAGAAATAGTTCAATGCGCTAACCGTTTCATCTCAGCAATTTCTTTTTAGTATGGCTGTCTCTTAAAGCACTCATAGGTGTCATCGAAACTTTATCCCATCCATAATCATTCAATCCTTGTATTCACCATATAATTCTTTAGATACTGACAGGCAAGAGCAAACCACTACTGGGTTCACCCCTCCCTTCCCTGAAAAGGAAAGGGCATAATGGATTAACCTTTCTCCACCAATGCCTAAGATCAGAAACTAGCATCGTAGTCAATTTACACATTTGATTCACGGTAATGCAGGTACGCTTCTAAATATTTCGGGAACATTTATTTCCAACAAACATTTTATTTAACAATAATCAGCATAACGCTATAGATATGAAAATAAATTTGTCCTAAATCTGCATTCGCTCAATGCTAGTAACTGAGAAATAGGAAACTACTATTCGCCTCATCACGAACGTGTGAAATTATATATTACGATTTTGGTTCATCTTTGTATCTGAAAGTATAAAGAAAGGTGTAAAGTAATCATTTGTTATATTCTCTGCGTACATTTTCACGAGTTGAAATTGTAATAGTTCCACGATTTTCGTTTTCGATTTTCTGTGAACATATTACCTTCCCTTGCCGTAATTATCAAGCCTAATCTCTGAATTTTTTGAGATTAGAAAACGAAAACGTCGCATATCCCTCTTCTTCAAGCATAGGATAATCCCCTTTTAGTGAAACTTACGAGTATATTATTTCATTGCTCACTCGTTTAAATCTTCCATTAGAATAATCTCATAAGAACACTCTTGGCGTATCAAGGTGAACACCCGTCCTCCATTTTCTGATTAATAATACATCAGCAAATGCAACACGGTACCAAGTAAGCCATAAGCCGATCACTAAAGCGCATTACAGGTGAACTCGCTCAATGAGATGGAGAACCCCCTGTAATACGTGTGTGTAGTTTGTGTATGAGTAGGCATGCGTGCGCGTTCGCATATGTAGATAGTAGATCTGTAATTCTAAAACCACATATCCACGTTCGTGATGTATTTCTTCAAGTAATGTAAATGAATGTTAATTCATGATAACAAGACACACGTCACTATTGAAAAACAATCGTGCAAGAGAAAACGCTCTGGAAAACATTTCACAGCGTCTACCTTGTAAATAACGTGTTCAGTCAAGTCACTCAGAGTACAAAAAAGGTGCGCTGTCTTGATGCGAAGCAACACGTATTATTAAGAACGAATAATAAGTAATTACGAACACATCGAGACCAATCAGGTCTTAATCTCAAACCTGGCCTCGAAAATCATCGTACAGTACAAGTACAACGTTACGGGACTTTCGAATTAACTACACCAGCAATGCTAATTTCTATCATTTTGAAAATAAGTTTTCTCAGCAATTACCAATCTTCAAGTTGAAACACTTCCATAATTTTTACTTCGTCTGTTAAACTGAAGAAAAATTGATTTTTTATAATTAGAAAAATGAAAAAAAGTGAAACTTGTTCACAATTATTGCTTGTAATGTTTTTGTCTAGTTATTTTATCATCCAATACATATAAACAGATATCCATGAGATGAAATCAAAACGTTAAGTACAGAACACGTGATAAAAATTTGATTAGTATGCATACAATAAAAGCTTGGAAAATAGATGGTTTAAGTACTCGAAAAATCCTCCTCTCCTAAGCCGCAATATGTATAAATCTTTATAAAAATGTACAACACGTGAATACAGATCTCCACAGCATCTAAGAGCACACCCCCATAACGTTAAAAAATATACTCTTAAAATTCGTCCACTTTACAATTAATTTATAATTCAAAAATATTTTAGTAATATTTATATATATATATATATATATATATATATATATATATATATATAAAACAGTAATATTTATTTAGACGTGGTGCCAAAAACTACATGACTTTGCACTTCAAATAATACTGGGATATTTGTGCTTTCCATATTCTATACAATCTAGTAGTAGTTTCTTCTAACACATGTAAACGTAACATTGTCCACACGTGAACAGTTCTAGTCTTACTTCGCTGTAGACAATTCGAAAAATATCGGAATCTGGAAAAGTATGTGTAAGATGCCAGGCTAGGAGATGGATATGAAATACGCCTTCTCTCTCATTTAAGAATATTCAAATTAAACCTGTGCAACTAGTGAATTAGGACCGTGGTTTTAAAAAATCTCATCAAAATTATAAACGAACAGTACAAAGAAAATGAATAATTCGGTGGGATGTTGTTTGAACGTTTCTTTTCCACTCTTTCTGTTCATTACGGAATTCCGAAAAGGTGTAATATTTTCTATTAATTTTGTATACTACCCTAAATTTCAAATCTCGCATTTGAATTTGAATTCTTTAATTAAAGGAGAATAAAGGTAATGCTTTTGATCACTTCCTAAATTTTAATCAATTATTTATTTTCCTCAAAAGAAATTGTAGATGTCGTACTACGTGTCAGAGGGCAGGTCTCACGCGTTCAATAAGGGGAATAGTGGCATATGACGGATCTCCAGTGAGCGAGTGCGAAGCACGGCGCGTAAGCGGCGCCTGCCTCGTCCGAGGAAACTCGAAACATGCGAGGAGACGCCGCCAGCCCATAAGCTGGAGAATCCGAGCAAGGCGCCGGCGCCGGAGCGACCGGCGGCGGCGGCGCAAAAACGTACGACGGCGGCGGCAGGAGATAGGAGGCGATAGGCGGCGGCGTTTGCCGGAGCGGCGCACACGCGACGGACGGGGCAGCCCCACCGCCCGGCGTCCGCTGCTACGTCACCGCCGCCTCCGGACGCAGTGGCTCACAACGAAAGAAACACGAGGAAATATTTTCCTCTTTTCTCCTGTTCTTCTTCTTTTTCTCCTCCTCTCCCTTCGTTTTCTTCTCCTCTTTTTCCCCTCCTCCCTGTTCATCTCCTCCTCTTCCTCATCTTCTTCCTCTACTCTTCTTCCTTCATGTTCTTCTCCTGCTCTTCTTCTTCCTTCATGTTATTCTTCTCCTCCTCTTCTTCCTTCATGGTAATCTCCTCCTCTTCTTACTTCATGGTCATCTCCTCCTCTTCTTCCTTCATGGTCATCTCCTCCTCTTCTTCCTTCATGGTCATCTCCTCCTCTTCTTCCTCCATGGTCATCTCCTCTTCTTCCTCTCCTCCCAGTACTTATTCTTCTTCCTCTTCTTCCCCTTCTCCCTATTCATCTCGTTCTCTTCATCTTCTCCTCCTCCTCTTCCTTCATCTTCTCCTCGTTCTTCTTGTTCTTCCTCTACTCCTCTTCCTTCAATTTCTCCTTCTCCTCTTCCTTCATGCTCTTCTCCTTCTTTTCCCCTTTATCTTCTTCTTCTACTACTAGTGTCTTGAGTGTAAAACCGTCAGGGCATTTCTTATACCCTATAGGATATAAGGATGCGCGGCAGCTATAAGTTCGTCGCAGATGAGCTAAGAGTTTGGGTGGTCTAAGAAACACGTGTCAGCCATCCCCTTGGACAAATAATTATTTAAGTTCACTACCCATGTCCAACTAGTTTGTTCTACATAATTGACACGAAGTATGCAATTAAAATTTTTTGGAAATTAATATTCTATTTAGATTTTTGTATTACGAGAATTAGTTTGCACCATTGAACTTTTTCAAGGATTTATAGCTCTACGTGTACCAATCCTATAGGCGGTTCCTGGAGCCAGCAATTTTTCTCCGTTTTCTCTCTTTCTGATGCACTGCTCGCAGCTGCTGCACCTGCGGCCGCCGTCGCCGCCTTCTCTTCTCTTGGTCGCGTGTTAGATGCGCGCGTCACAAGAAGGGACAAGGTTCATCAAAGTCCCGTGGAATATCCAATCGCGGATTTCTCAATTCTTTGGCCGGCGCGAGTCCTAACCCTCTCAGGAAGCGTTTCAAGAACTTCTGCATATTCGTTCCTGACGCACCTGACACTGGCTTGACACTGACCCACATGCGGGCTTTCCAGCTGGGTTGTTCACACGCCGCGAGGCCCAACGCGAACACAATACACGCACAAAACAGCGGACAAACGTTTGGCGGGTGCGGTTCTAAATACACTTCCAGGCGACGTTGCGGTTTACGTTTTTACATTGTAGTCATCTTGGCCACCCGTAGATACCTATAACGATAGGGACGTTTATAATAACGCCAGCGTTGCAGCATTCGCGTTCTTGGCCATTGATGGAGAATCGCTGTAGATAGTAACTCTTTCTGAGCGTGCCGCTGTAATCACTATCAAAATTATCTAAAACGTACTGCATGTTTGGGTTGTCCATAGATTTTATTGCTTCAAGAAATAATGTAAATATTTAGAATGATGAGAAATGTATATGTATTGGAGAATATTTGAGCGTCAGTGTTTTTACTGAAACAGACATTGAGAAATAGCTCACTTCCGTATGCTGACGATCTGTATGTCCCGAGGACAGTTTCTAATGCAAGTCAACTACACCGGAGTTGAGAGAAAGCAGCGAGGTAGAGGAAATGTATGATCATGATCGTGATCGTGATTATAATGAAGATTTAAATGAATGTTTATTTATGTGCCTCCAGGTTCTCAGGATGGATGTGTCAACAATGTAAATTGATAGTTCTTGGCACTGACACTTTCTTTTCCTTATGGGTTACATTTTCATGTTACATAACTTGATAAGATATCCAATTTGGCAAGAAAGAAAAAAAAAACTTCATAAAAATCTTGTTGTGATTTTGAAAATACATCGAATATCTATTAAAACTTTGAGATATTTTATTTCTTCGTTGAAGGAACACATCGTATACAAACATTCTACGGAATTCTTGGAGGTTGCACGTAATGGAATGCTGTCATTGTAAGGCGTCAAAGGAAGTTTACGGCTCATTCTACTGTCTGTCGCAATTGTAAAATAGTACGACAGTACAGCATCTGAAGACACGCGAAGGTGAGCATAACCAATTGAGATATTGTGTGAGAGGAATTGTAAAATGTTACAGCGGTAAAATTGTTCCTGTACTTGCGGCCAGTAACCATTTATATTTTATTCACTCTCAGAATAATATATAAGGAATAATAATAAGGAATTTCCTTTACAAACACACATGATATGTCAGTACACATATTCTACGTTTTTTATAAGTAATAACAAATTTTGAGAAAGTAAGAGCAAAATTTTAGGGAGGAAATAAAAATAGATTGTACAATTTGATACCGGATCACACCAAAGAAGCAAAAACCTTTAAAATACCTTGTGGCTTCAATAAAATTTCTAATGTTATAGTACACTCTCTACACTCAACATTTACGTTCAATGGTTTTCACATCGATATATACGGAAACCACTGGGTAGTATATTAAGGAATTTTATGTAAGTAAAGTTACAAGTAAACAGTTTTCAAGCACAGCACTTGGAAGTTTTAACACGTTCGAAAATTTTTGATCTGATGCACTCTAAATCATGTGACATTGGGAGTTATGATCTCATAACACTAGAGTTGAAACTGAGTTTTAACGCGCTAGTGGCATTCCTTAGACAAAGAAAATAACGAAGTCGTTAAGTGGAAAAAACAAGACGTCACAGATCACAGATTCATACTAGCTGTGCTCACACATAATATTCTGTTCTCTTGCTCAATAAAGAATACGTGTTTCCCAGATATTCCTGCTTGAGTCGCAAAGTAAGCGTTTTCCGCTATAAAAGCTGCACTTTATGAAACCATTAACAAATCCGAAGGAACTACAAATACTATCCAAAATTATTGATTTTATCTTCAATCACTGGACTCCGAGAGATCCTACAGCCCTATGATTGAACTATTGCATCTACATCCTTCATTAGCACAAAATATTACTCGCTCACGATGCGATTTACGAGTCATAATATTCATTTTGAACAGGTTGATGCAAGGTTAACCACCAGTTCTAAAGTCAGTCACGATACATAGTTCAATACGTTACGATAATTTCCCTATTAATTGTCATGGAAATGTTAGGTCTCATCATGGGTGCTTCACCAAATGTTGAAAACTTATTTTTTGTTCCAGCCACGCGTGATTTTCCAAATCCAAGAAATTCTCTCATCTTGCAGACGCTTTGGAGAGCACCTGCTTGCCGAAAAGACATCACTGGCATTTTTGGTGGCGGAACATAAATGTTTACTTTCTGCAAGGCGTGGCTGTATGACCCGTAATTTGCCGTTAGGTGACGTTTGTGGTTAAGTTCAGGGACTTTCACACTGTATAAGTGCATGTTCTTTTTACACGTAAAACTAACAACTACACAATCAATTACTGATTAAATGGATTACGAAATATTGACAGTCGTGATTTATTATTTTAATATGTAGTTTCATAACAAGAAAATTGTATCAAAAAGTATAAATTCATCATGGAGTTGTGGTTAAAAAGTACTAAGTCGGGAGAAATATGCGTAAATTTTCTTTTTTGGTATCCCTTCTACGCAAGCTTATTAAATGTATTACCTTCACTTTGCAACACAATATCTTGCGCGATGACAATAACATAAGGTTTCCTAGGGTTTGAAAAGTTTCAATATTTCTGCAGAAATTTCATTCAACTATTGGTTAATAGTGCTTCTTTCACAGAAGTGTTGCTGGGTTGTCCTTTTGTTCTTCTTAATGATGTTCAACCTTTACTTGAGGTCATGCAAGCAAACCCCTCCGTGAAGAGCGTGTTTTACTTCGTTCAACGTTCAATTTTTCTCTTTTTTTGCCTAAGAGCTCCAAATAACATCTTGGGTCGTCGAAAGTGCGAGAACTGGTTCAACTAGTAAAAAATTAGTTGCTCTAGCAAATGCTTAGAGTCTACATTTACTGAATATGGGATAAAAAACATGGTCCCTAAATTCAGTTTCATTAAAAAAAAATAAACTCTTCAATAAAATGTTTCAATAAATTAAATTAAATGCATAACATTCATTAAAAAATGGAAGTGTAATGTCATTAGATTGAAACACAGAGTTTTTCGTACCATATTAATTGCGCTCTTTATTTTTTTAAGCAAAAGCGAATTAAGTTAATTCATGTTATGTTTGTCATCGCAAAAAGATAAATAAGATTTTCTTACTCTGTATAAAAATCAAACTTTTCAACAATTGTCAAGAAAATCACCCAGATTTCACGTGATAAAAAACATTTCCTCTCAATGATTTATGCCTAATGAGCAAAGTTTACAGGTAAGTTCGAGGTTTTATCTGTACGTATTTACCTCTTGTGATTAACGGAATAACTTTCCTCTTCACAGATATAACAAACCTATACCCTGAATATATTTACACACACAAATGTTCAAGATACAGTCAACCACGAACCCTCACGAAAGAAAATTGATTGAAGGCGGCTTCCGCGCGTGACATTTAGTTGTAGCTGCAGATTTTCCCGAGCAGGTAAAACTATCCGTACCCCGAACGTGTATTGCCCTCTTTTCGTTCGTTTCGACACCGGCTTCAAGTGGTGCTTTCAGAGAAAAAAACGTGTTTTGCGCTGTGTACTTCTCCGGGTCTCTCTAAGCGCTGGCGCCAGGCTGGGCAAACTGACGCTGCCAGTTAGCACGCTGCTAAGCACGAGCGCACGCGTCGATCCGCAGGTGAGGCATTTGGCGTTACCCTGTGGATAGGTTGGCAACTCTCTACGTATTACCACTTTCCTTCCGCATTCGCGACAGCCCTCCAGGCATCAATTGCGCGCCGCACGCGTGGGGCCTCTCTTCGGCTGTGATATCACACCACTTGTTAATTGAGGACATAACTAATTATTCACACCCTTCTTAGCACAAAATGTCGAGATAGTAAGACACACTTACATATACTACGTATGTCGGGAGACCTCTCGGAAGCTTAGAGCTTGCCCCGGCAGCGGTGCCCCGCTGGTGGGAGATACCTAGTTGAGGGAAAACCCTCCCTGCTGACATGGTCGGTGCTGGATCTCTCCACAAAAGGGCCGAAATCTCCCGAGGGAAACACATGCTCTACACCTACGGGACTAATGACCGTAGTAGTTGACACGACAGGAATCACTAATCAATAAAATTTGTTTAAAAAAATCTGCGGCTAAAAAGGCGATATTTGGATAAAAAAAGCGTATTGCGGTGACCTGATACAGAAAAAAACAATAAATACTGTTCTAATATATAGTAAATTACTTCCTCTAATAAGTAATGTAGTCCAGTTTTACGAATAGTGAATTCTTAATTCCGAAGAAATGTGTTTTTTTTTTTCAAAACGTCCTTGCGTACGTCGCCTGTCGCCTGTGAACAAGATGAGCGCCTAAACTATGAGTAGGATTGAATACCTACCGGTCAATCTGTCACGCTCGCAGAAAGTTCTGCGATTTTT